CTTACCATTAAGTAAAATATTTGCTGTTTCAACGTCTACGTTTACTAAAACATCTGTGCCTCAAAAGATTAAATTTAAACTGACCACTTCCACAGCTGTATCAGAATCCATCATTTTGCTGAACGATTTTTATCCTCATTCAAACAAAATGTCAAAAAGAAAAAGGTTAAGTTACCGGCTGACAATACTAGTTGAATATACCAACAGAATATTCAGCTGAAGGGTGAAGAGTTCAGTCATTTGATCTAAACTTGTGACGTCACATAGTAGTTTAAATGACTGACTATTCTCGCAAAAACGTAATATTCACTCATACTACACATACTACAACATACGACTTCACTCGCGAAAAAAAGCCTTATGTAAAAGATTAGAAGATTAATAAGAGTACCTATGTGTAGTTACAATTTTAGTGTTTACAAGTTATCAACTTTGGCTTATAATTTTTGTTTTATACTTAAGAAAATAAAAGTATAAAAAGCGAGGGATGGTGAGAATGTCCAATTTTTTACCTGTAATTTTTTAAATATGAAGGGAAAGACAAAGTTAATAATTTAATCTAAATAAGTGCACATAGTTATGGTAAAAAAAAGATATTTGCTGGTATTGTAATAAAACTACTCATTCTAGGATGAAAACCTAACAACTACGGTAAAAACTTTGCTATGGAAAAAATTGTACTTTGCTACCATAATAGGAAGATGGGATTGCAGTAACAAATAAAAGGTAAAAAACTTTTTAACCACAAATAGGTTCCTTTAGCAATATATTTTTTTTTATTATGACAGCACTGTAACCTTTATGAAGCCTATTTAAAACAGATATTTTGTTAGGGTTGTTAATTCATTTCTACTTATGACTAAATAATATTTCCGTCGAAGCACTAAATGAAATTTTATAATATATAATTGAAAATTAAAAATATTTAAAAATATGTAATTTTAATACATATGTTATATCACTCGGGTATTTAATTTTAATTTAAAAAATAAATGTACCTATTTCAGAAAATCCTAACAGGTATGATATTATTATAAATAAAGATAATCTAATACGTAGCTAAGCTACTTTAAGAATTTTGCGGCAAACATATTGTAGTAGGCAACCCTAATTTGAATTGTACGATGCGATGCGATCTGAATAAATAAAATTTGCATTTGCTGATCATAATAACATTTTATACATTATCCAAATTTTCATTTTAATTACAATCTCTTTTTATCACAGAGTTTTAAATATACCTACTAATTACTAATGATATCCAAGTCCTTAATAATTTTAAAATGGGACTGTAGAGATATATTATTTTTAGACCTGCGGTAAAGATATGTAGATTTCTATAGGTAATTATTTATTATACCGCATCTAATGCCATCAAAAATTCATTTACAATGTATCTTCCATTATACAATTATCTTAAAAGAATGTAACCATTACGGCAAAAAGATTCAATTCATCCTGAATTAAATTTGTGGCCGAGAAAAAACGTAATTTAATAGAAACCAAGTAAACGGTATTTCTATAACCAATACCAAAATCGTATACACTAAAATCAAAATGTTCTAAATTCTCTAGAAATAATTTTGTTGTGAATACTGAGCGTCCTTAGCAAATTTATGGAGTATTATATGAAATTTAAATTGGGTACAGTCCGTACAATATTTAAAATTCCAAGAAGACCCCTGCGTCACTGTCTTGGCATTAACCACATTCAACACCCGAGGTAGAAAGACATTAGCGTGGCATTCACTCCGTTCAAAAAATCTGCTGTATATAAACATCTACCTTGTATATATTTTAATATTCTCAAAATAACGCGGAGAATTACAAGGCACGCCCCCGCCGCTGTAAATTACAGTAGTTCCGATAACAGAACTTTATTGGCTTATTCTTTTCTTGGAATACTATCTCAACAATTATTGTACGGACTGTACCTACTTCAAATGCTTATTAAGATCCGTTGCGTGAATTAGAAAATCTGGCACAAAATAGACGGCACAAGTTCATACTCGAACTCATATACTTAAGTGCTATAGAAATCTGAACATTCTGTAACTACAATAATTTCAAACTTTTAGATTTAATTAGAAAGAAATATATTTTGTCTGTACTTACTGCAAAATATAAAAGTATTATATAAGTAGCTACCAATCTACGACATGCTTAACTCATATTATGAAAGATATACATTTGAAAGATGGAGTAATGTTAAAATTGACTAGTCACTCAATCTTAGTGAATGAAACGCTTTTTGATTTACAAATAATCCATATTTCTTTCTACATTCAAATATGTATCAAATTTAAATTATGTTTAGCGAGATGGAAATAATCTAATTCCGAAGAGGAAAAAGGAATCAGATATATTAAATAATCCTCTCTAATTTTGAAATAAATAATAATATTTCTTCCGAATATAGTCTATTAACTCGTTTTGAATTGTCTGTATGAAACTAATCTGATTTTACTGTTTACGAAAAGTTAGTAATTTTACAATAATAAAATGAAAATTAATTTCAATTATTATAATATTTTTTGCCTTATTACTTGCGGGGCAAATGTTCGTTATTGTTTAGTGCTTCATTTCAATCACTGGGCGACTAATTTTCACCAGCAGACGACATTTATGTCGCCTACTTCACTAGTAAAAAAAGCTCTGGTATCTCGTATGTATAATAACTTTTTCCAAATGCTGCGAAGCAGGTGTGTAACTACCTACGGTGGGCCTAGGTTATTCAGTTTACTGTGCTGTTGTTACACCTTTTAATTTATACTAACGCTTACAATTTTTTATTGGATAATTGACCCACCTAAAAAAGTTCTCATCCAGAGTTCCACTGATTAATACATAAACAAACCGTTTGTTCTTACGTAATCATGTCTTAAGCCCCATACGCACTAGAACACATATGTATCCGTAAGGTATCGTCACAGGTTGCGTACATGTCTCAAAATATTTCGAACAACTAGTATCTAGACACACGTATCAGCGATTTTGAATTCTGATATACAGGGTCGGAAAGTACCGATGGTCCATCTGCCATTACGTGAGAGCGTTAAAGTAAGTCATAGAAATCCGTGCGATAGAGAAAGATGGCTATAATGAAAACATCTAATAGTCACCACCCATTTCGCCCTTCCACAAATAAGAAGTGGATCTTATTTGTGGAAGGGCGAAACGGGCGGTGACTATGAGACGCCTTCATTATAGCCATCCTTCTCTATCGCATGGATTTCTATGTCTTACTTTATCGCTCTCACGTAACGGCAGATGGACCATCGGTACTTTCCGAACCTGTATATGTTCATATGACCAGTAAAGTACCACTAGACAAGCTGCGACTTGTTCCGACACATGTAACGACACTATGTCGATACAAAATGCGTTGCAATGTGTACGTGGCTTTACTGATGAAATAAAGTCGTTGATACGTCGCTAGAAATGCTTCGCAACTCTACTATGATGCGTACAATGCATTAAGTAGTTTTCGAGTTAAATTAATTGTGCTTCAGACATTGAAATGGTTATAGTGATTTTAGTTTTCTTAAGCATATCTCTATTTTTCAGTAAAATTTCCACCAATTTGAAAAAAGAGCAATACTTCCGTGATCAATTTAATTAGGTACCTAGTCAGGGATAAAAAATTATTTCCAATTTTTATTAGCAATGATAAAAGTACCTGTGGATTCCTTTCAAAGCTACGGTCATATTGTACTATTATTTCGTTTTAAATTATTGATTCTTTTTCCATCTCATTTATTTGTTCATACGGGTAATAATTAGTTATGTATACAGAAAATATATATACATATCAACAGAACAATTATCGGAGTGGTAAAAAGAAATATCTAAACCTGTACAATTATCTTTAAAATAAATTAATTATTTTTCTAACATTTCATAGGTTTTAGCCCTCTACTTTAATACATTAGTAAAGACTTTTTTATTTTCTTGTTTTCCTTACTGCGTCATAAATTGCAATATGTTGTGGCGAAATTATTTCGCTGTTTGTGATGGTAACGGCGCCAACCAACCACAATGCCTAATTGTTAATTTTATTTTTTCTGTATTAAATAAAGACATTTATTAATATTATTATTATTATTATTAACAATGACAACGGAAGAAATTAACTGCAGTGGGTATATCAGTTAGAATCGCTTTTCTATGGAAAAAAACCGTTAGCATTCTGTTCAGCAGCTACTAGGCAATTTTTGGCACTTAAGGAANCGTTTCATACCAATAAAATAAAAATAAATACTTATTTATAGATCTGCACTTCAAATCACAAAAATTTTCTGACATTCATGATATGCAGAAAATAAATCAATTACCTACCTAATTTACTGATCGTTTTTGCAAAAACCTTTTGTTAGGTACATAAAATAGCAGTTTTACAGAGTCAAAGAAATTGATATATTTTTCCACATTGAATTAAGTGTTAAGTATTGATAATAGGTACACAATCGATAACAATAAATTAATGAAGAAATTGTAAAGATAGGACAGGCTGCAATTTTTTTATAATTTTTTAGCGAATTCTGTTTACATTTTGACTTAAAGATATAATGCCATTAGTGCTCCTGATAAAAATCATTATCTAATTATTATTTACATTATTCGTGTTTCTGTTAAAATTCTTTATTAACTAAATTTCAATTTGTCTTTTTCCCTTCACTGTAGCCAAGATCTTACCCAACGACGCCGTTTTGAAACCGACAGGTCATTCTTGTCATAAAACAAGTACGTACCTAGAAGGTACATTAGTATGGTAAATAACCTTATTTATTAAAATTATTAGAAGTTGGCGGCAAATAAATATTTATAATCAAATTTAACTTGCAACGTCATTAATAAACTCATCAACTTCTTCATGAATTTATTTACGAATTAATTTATTTATTTATGTGATCAGGTAAAACGGCTATGGGATGAATTTGAATTGTAGGAAAGATTCTCACAGACAATTAGCGTGTCAACAAATAAAAAAAATTACTTACCAGGGTTTGGTTGGGACTGGTAAGAAGTCTTTTTGATCCACTCGTACGGACTTCTTGCTGGTGGCGGTCTGGTGTTTTGGCTGTGGTTCTGGTGAGGTGAGATATTCCCGCTTTGTGCTCCGGGACTAGACATATCACTCCCCGAAACGGTTATCGGAGGAGAAGGAAGCTGACTTTCCGGATCGACCTGGTGTTGTGGATGTTGCAATGGCGGTATTCCGCTATGTACGAAATCTTGGAAATCATGCTGGAAAACACTGTGCGGATGAGCCGGATGATGATGCCACATTTGCTGTTCCTCTTGGACACAGTAGGACGTTGGGGGAGCCGTGCCTATTTGGGGGCTTTGGTGATAACCCGCGTACCATGAATGCATTGGGGAATTCGCCTGGAAATGTCCATTAGGTGCAGAAATCTGTTGCTGGTGACGATACATAGCTGCCGGACTGTAATATGACACCATGCTCGGTACAACTGGAATTTTAAAACTTCTAACACCAAGTATATGTTTATGTACACTAATTAGTCCGAAACCGCAACACTAAACAAATGTTTTTAACTGTGCCACATAAAAATCTATTAATGTATTTATTTACAAATACCTAGCAACACACAACACCTTTACTGTTCGAACAACTCAGAACCCACTGATAGTGTCACCTAATATCATGATTGTTGACTGAGTACATGGGGCCAGAGGTAATGCGATAAAATAAGATAAAGATTAACAGGAGAAGGTGGAGCTAGGACACTCTAATGCTCCAATAGGGTCGCTTCGTTCGGATCATGGCTGCAAATGTTTCTGACCGCCAACCAACGGAGTTTTAAACCGCCAACCTGATTATTAAGCAACATTTAATTAATTATCGTATAAGGGGACCCTGAATATTTACGCCTACAGATGTTTTTTTTTTGTTTTCTGTTATTTTAAAGTATTAAAAGCTATTGGTACGTATATTTTCGTAACGCATCGAATACACAAGTTACAATGCATTTAGTTAACGGCAACATCTGAGTACTTAAAACAATGCATGCATATTTTAAAACCGTATCTACTCCAATTTGTTAGTTCCAACACCCCTAAATTTTACACAAAAAAATAGTACAAACGTGAATGTTCATAGTGACATGATAAAATTATGCAAGTTGGATCTATACCTTGATATAAAAAAAATAGAATACATACCTAATTAACAAACATAAGTATCTAGATCAAAGGAAATTGTGCAAAACTTGTTTCAGTTTTTCTTTACTCATATAAGTATCTACTTAGGTACTTACCTACCTATACTTACCTACACATATTTATATTTAGGTATTTTTATATCTACAAGGGCCATAAAAATTATGAAGGCTGTAAAAAATAAACATATCGTAGACTACACGATCCGTTGTTAAACAAATTTTCAAGGACAATAAATATATTCTATTCTAGGCATTAATTTGCTATTTTATTGTGTAAATTAATATCTGTCTAAATCTAACTAGTAGGTTAGGTATCTATAGGTATCGGTTAGGTTATGTGGTGTGATGTTAAGTTTAAAGTACTTAATTAACTTTGCTTTAGGTATAAAACACATTTTTTTCCTACCTAATTATTTTTCCTAAAGTTAAAAATCTACAACAATTCATAAATTTCTATCGGTTAGTGATTAATCCAATTTAATATCTAGTATCTAAATTAAGCATACTTTTTCAAAAATTAAAAAAAAAACAGTAAATTATCATGCTTAAATTTGGTTCTAAGTTATGTGAATTATATTTTGCAATCTCATCAATAGGGCAATAAGTAAACACATATAGCTCTACCTACTGGAATCGATGTTTTTTTGTTTTTAAAAAGCTTTGTACCTTATACCTATGTAGATACGAATGCGTGGATATTCCTAACAATCAATGTTTCTCATCCTTTTATAGTCTCTTATAAAGTTTACCAATGGATACCTACATTTTAAAAGTCCTAGAATAAGTTCTATACAAAATGTTACATGTTATCGTCGATCGGCCAAAACTAATTTAGTAGGTATATTAAAATAATAGGTGTCTACCTGCGCTGTAGGTATATTATAAAAAAAATATATTTTATATTTGATGCTTGTGACTTTAATGCTAGTACCTACTCTCACAAAAGTCATTAGTTCAATTCAACAACTATTATAATAGCCTTATAGGCACGTATTTTTAATTTTGTCTTTTAATTTATTTGTTTACTTTGTTCATATGTGTTTCTATATCTTTGTTTCTGTATTTATATTTGTACTGCAGCTAGAATTGTAGTTTGTTGGGCATGGTTCACTAAAAACCAATATATCAATTCAATTTTTAATTCTATATTTGAGCAATTTTGGTGATAACCTTGTAGTTCATAAAAAATAATTGTTGTCACTTTAATTTTTCAGATCAATGTCTCATATTAAAAGCTCTTGTATTTCATTAAAAATATTTTATAGCATTAATATAATTCAAGTTTATTAATTTTCATGTAGCAACAATAGATAGGTACTCATTTTAATCCTTGAATCCAAAACGTAAATATAACACTTTTTGAGGGCAAAAATTGAATTTTGAACAAAACCATTTTTAGATAGATGCAGAATACCTACAATACTTCATTCTATTGGTCTAAAGGATTGGAAAGTGCCTTTTCGAACAAAAAAATATTTGTGTCTTATATTTCGACATCAAAAATAGTTTATACCGAAAGGTATTAAGAAAAGTTAAAAGAAGTGTATTGGTTCTTCGAGTATTTGGTTCTTAACATACATTAATTCATTGTGGTGTTCCCTATTAGATAAATGAGTAGGTATAGGAAAGAAAACATATGTACCGACCTGCCTGCAATCTATATTATACATATGTTGTTACATAACAACATCATAAATAGTAGGTACCTAACATAAAATAAATACTCAAATATAGAAATCCCTTATTACATTATTTTCTATGCAAAAATTTTATATATTTCTTAGGTATACATATACAAAGGTTATTGTGTATAAATATAATATTAAACCTAAATATTAAGAACAAAGTAAAGGAAATCTATTAAACATAATGTATACATTTCTCTTAGATCTTTAAATTTGCAGATTTTACGAGTCTATTTGCACTGTACAATTTGTAGGTAGATACGTAAACTTTAGGTAGATATATTTTTCTTTCGTACATAGTCGTTCGAAATCATTATCAGAGATATGGTAAGCTTTCGTCTTTAGAAGTTTTCTCTATAATACTGGTTATCTTATACTTTTTTGTTACTTTATTGGCCAATAAAGATAAAACACTTAAATCTATACCTATAAACTACAAAATACGTTATTCCTCCGCCCATTCAAAATAAAACAATTGGTCTGCAAAAAATGTATGCAGTTTTTAAACATATATAGGTACCTACCTATTGTACATATCTAATTGTTTTAACGATGATGATTTTCTATTTCTGGATGTTTTTTTTATCTTCCTTGTTGTCTAACATTTTTATATCTCAGTAGTATTCAAAAAACCTTTTTTAAGAAAAAATTCAATATACCTAACCAGGTTTTAGATAAATATCTAATAATCTATATTCTTATCCTTAGCCTTAGATAAAAACTTTTTATTATTTACTTTCAAACACTTACTTAACCAACTAAACTAAAATAAATATATTTTTTGAAGGTCCCCAAAACAATTACCTATACCTAAGTATAAGTTAATAAGAAAAAATTGTTATTGACACTTTGTTAGACGAAAGAATATAAGGCGTCCCTTACATAGTAAGTAGAAAGACGAATAGAATTTTAATATTAGATATTAAATAGGCCCTAAAATGCGCATAATCAGAGACTACAACTGTCCGAAGTGAATAACTCGGTAGGCCATGCCAAGCGATGTAGAACGTGTAATTAAATTTCAAATTAAAATATTGCTATAAATCGTCAAATTTAATGCAACAGTAGAAACAGCTTTCTCCCAAAAATTGTCGAAATTTAATGAAAAATAAACAAGTTATAACAAAACTTGTGCGTGTTATTTTTGCAAGACCTACTCAAATCAGAAAGGCTGTCCACCATTTCCTGGATTATTTAATGAGTTGCTTAATAACATGTTTCTCCGAGGAAGGTTATACATTTTTGTGTATTTAGGTATAAATCTCCTTTAGATAAACAATACTAGGAACTTTAAGGCGATTATACGTACTGAGGGCGCCAAATTCCGAAAGAATTCGTGTATACCTAATAGAGAATGCCACCGAATGAATTTATTAGCCTTTGCTAGGTTCACTCACTGGGCGGTATATATCAAACGAAGGTCTAAACTAATAAATGATGTGCGTTTGCTTTGGCTTTAAACTAGTGCTGGCAACTGAAATCGGTTTTTTTGGATAGTCGGTTAACCGGGTTCGGATAATTCGGATTTTTACGAAATCCGAAAACCGGTTATTCGGTTATTCGATTCTTCAAATATCCGATTATTCAAATAACCGATTATTCGATAATCTACTTCTTTTTTTTTATTTTTAGACATCGATTTGTCCGATTGCAATTGACTTTTTTTTTGGAGATTGATTTCTTCGTAAACAAATTTGACTGTAGGATTTTTGTAAAGACCTTTTTTTTTTAGAGACATCAATTTCTCAGGGTCTGTCTTTGTAAAGCACCGATTTTCAGATATCCGGTTTTGGCGATTCAAGTAACGGGTTATTCGAATAACCGGTTTTAGCAACTATTCGACTAATCGGTTTTTACGGAACCCGGTTAACCAGTTTCACTTTTTTCCGGTTTTTGCCAGCACTACTTTAAACCTTGAAAACTTTGGAAAGCCGCAACACTATCGATACTGAATGAATGGCTACAAAATATTGATGGCAGATGAAATTTTATTCCTACTGATAACGCGTTCACTAGGTACCCTTCATTCACTATGTACACATGTAAAAAAATCCATTCGCCGTATGTACATATACACATCTTTATAAGCTTTAGTAAAAATTTTACAAGGTGCAAAAACAGGAAAATTGAACTAATAGCTCAATTTATTTCATTTATATTATTATTAAGCAACTGCCTATTGTGTCAATACTACAGGTAAATCAATAGATATATCCTTTTCTCTTTTAGTAGAAATTTGGTACAGATTCTTCGAAAAACCTACCTAAATAAACACAAACCGAATCTTGTTTAACCCAGCATGTTGCACGAATATTATAATAAAACATGCCTAATGGCATTACAAGGCAAATTTTGTACTAAGCTATAACTAACACGATTACAAGAGGTATAGGTATCAATACAGTAGCATAATGCCATCATGAGTCAAATATACTAAAAATACTTTAAAATAACAAGGTATTACGACCCGAATTTCCATAAACTTATAATTACATAACAACACAAATTTAATATTTACTTGTTTGATAATTATGATCATAATAATTACACTGAAAAAACAATTACTTTCTATTAAATCGGTTTCTATCGCAATCGGTCAGTTTATATTTATGCTAGTTACATTGAGATAAACCAGTTACATTCAATGCAATCAATGATTTGTTTGAATTAAAAAAGGAAACAGTTTGCAACAGGTTTGTCTATAATTAAAAAATTAGATTTAATATAGCCATTTAAAATTTTAGAATATTTGTTAGGCGAATTAAAAGAATACATTTTTAATACAATTTTAT